GGGGAGCATCTGTGAGCAGAAAGCAGCTCCCGAGTCTGGGAAGCAGCCATCAGAGCAGATGGAAGGTCATAGAAGGAAGGTCTGGCCCAGCAAGGCAGGGAAGACTGGAGGAACCCCATCATTGTCATGTACTCTACCCTGCAGCCAGGGCTCATGCACACAAAGGTACCACCGTTACATACCTGTCAGCTTCTTCTTGATGGCATCCTTGGAGCTGGCATAGATCATTTTGCTCTTAAGTGGTGCACACTCAGGGGCCCTGTAGACAGACAAACCAGGAACTTTTGTAGCAATGGTCCTCAGCAACAGACTACTCTTCAACAAGCCCGGGGGCTGGCCTCCATCATTTACTAATGCTCCCCTCTGAGGGAACATTTTGTCCCCACCCCTTCCCCTCAAAATGGCACCTCCAGGAGTGCTTCTGAATGAGGAGCTCACCAGAAGATGAACACCAGGTCCTCCTTCTTGCTCTCCTTGGTCTCGTAGGTTGCATCATAGAGGGCATATCGGCAGTCTTTGTCTGGCAGCATCTTGACAAAGGTGGCATAGGGGTCATCCACAGTCTGGCCCACATCACCTACCAGGATCTCCTTGCCCTCTTCCAGAATAATGTTTTTCTTGTCCTCACTCAGGCAGAACAGCACTGCCTTCTTGCGCTTCTTCACTTCCTCTGGCGTTGAAGACTTGCGCACCTTCATGTCATTAAACACCTTGATGACACCATCAGAGACAGCCACACCGGAGGCCTGAGGGACAAGTCACACACACACACACCTCATGAAAGAACTGTCTCCTGAAGCCCCTGCTTTCCAGTATTAGATCTCAATCTGGGTAACAAAAGGTACAGCTGTCAGCTCATATTCACAAGGAGTCGGCTAATCCTCCTGCCAAGGTAAGATTTTTTTTCCCCATCTAAACCACTGCCCAAGAGAACCAGATAAGACACGCATAACTCCTCTGCACCGAGGGTGCGGAAATGGTCTCAGCCGTCTAGCTCAGCATCCTTACTGATTTCACAGGCTAGAAACTGGAGAGCTATGGTAAACAAAATCCTTCCATGAGCTATGAAATCAAAATTAGAACCTACTGGCTGAGCTCTTAAGAGTACTCAATCACAGCCTTTAGGTAGCAGAATTTCACAGAAACCAGACGACCCAGACAGGCTTCACTCTCCTCTTCGAAAGGACAAACTGGGATCTGGCCATGATGCTGAAGCAGGCACTAAAGGGTGCTCCACCGTTAAGTTCACTAGAGCCGCTCAATATGGTTATGACACAAACGCCCCTCTCCCCAGCTAGGATCTTTCCAAAGGAGAATCACGGCCCTCAAATTCGAACCCGCTGGGCAGTCCCCCCCGCCCCCAGCCTCCTCTGCAAGGGGTACAGGACCCTAGAGGTCGCTGACAGAACCCTGCTAGTGTCCAGGATTCCCCAAACCTCCTCAGATCTTTACTCTGCCTGGTGCCGAGGGCCGCCCCAGCCGGGAGAGGGAACGATTGTTCCCGGTGAAGTCTGCCCCCCCCTCGGGGAACTGCAGAGGAAGCTGGCCACGTGACCGTCGCTTCCGGAGTGGGTGGAGAGAGATGGGCTAGGCCTGCCCCTCCACGGCAGAGAAATCTGTACCCCGGAGGCCACCGCAGCTGGCGCCTCTCACGCCGGAGCCGCCTTTGAGAATACACGAACTCGCGTGTCCGATTGGGGCTGTAGCCCGGGCAAGTGGCCGAAGCTTCAGTTTTCGAAGCCTTCGGGCTAAACGTCGGAGGCGGGTGGTTTCCGGGCGGTGCCCGCCCGGGTCACTTCCCTAAACTCGGCTCCGCCCTCAGGCTCCATCCGGGAGAGCTGGAGGCCCCGCGGGTCTCGAACCCCGGCCCCCCGAGGCCGGGCCGGAGCGTGCACGCACGCGCGGCGCCAGCCCAGCCCGGGGTGCGAGCGCGGGCGTAGCGGGCGCAGTGGGCTCGCGAGGAGGGCGGCCTCGGCGGGTCGCGCGCCTCGCCAACTTCTGGGTCTCCCGACACCGGTGCCCCCCAGGACCCCCCCGCCCTTCCCGGACCCCGGCATCCCTGCCACCTGCTCCGGAGACGGAGCCGCCCGCCGAGGGAGGGTGACGCGAAGAAAGGAACAGCCCTTGGGTGGGGCTCGCG